ACTTAGTTCAACATGCTCCTATTCTCCCTGAACCAATTATTTTCGAATATAAAAACCCACCTAACGAAAAGAAAATACTGCTACTCACGAGTCATCAGATGAACCCGATTGAAACCATGATTGGTCTCAGAGCTCTTGTCACCCTCACACTTGCGTTGTCAATCGGAATTGCATCAGCAGCGGCAGCCTCTGCAATTTCCCCCACTGGCCCAAACGGACCCATTGTCGACCTTGGTTACTCCATCTATGAGGGTACCACGCTAGCCAACGGCCAAAACCAATGGCTAGGTATTCGTTATGGCGCACCTCCCCTCGGCAATAACCGTTTCCGTAAAGCCCAACCCCCCGACAGGACCTCAGGACTTCAATCTGCTAAATCGTTCAGAGATGTATGCCATGGTCAGGGAGGAATGAAGGAGGAAGATCCCAATACGTATGGAGAAGACTGTCTGTTTATGAATATCTGGGGACCTTCTAACTTTACAAACCAATCGAAAATCCCCATCTTCTTTTGGCTCTCCGGAGGTGCTTATATAAGGAAAGCTAATCCTAACGTGAGTGGACTCAAGTTCTTTTCTCCTTAAAATTATTAGTATTCACCTCTTTATTCCACTGGCAAGTATAATGGAACCGGTTTGGTGGCGTCAACCGGAAACAATATGATCTTTATCTCCATCAATTATAGGGTGGGCCCTTTCGGTTTTTTGGCCAGCGAACAAGTACGTGCTAATGGTAACTTAAATGCTGGGTTGTACGATCAACGGACAGCACTGGAATGGGTACAAGATCATATTACCAAGGTATCTTCTGTCTTTCCTTAACCTGATATGACGGTTTTTGATCCACCCTGGCTTAGTTTGGAGGAGATCCCAACAGGGTTGTTATTGTTGGTGAGAGTGCTGGAGCAGGAAGTATCGCAATGCATCTCATCACAAAAACTTCGGACCGAGAGAGCCTTTTTGCTGGTCTCTTCGGTGTTTCTCCCTTCTTCCCAACTCAATTCTTTCCCTCGGATCTTGAGTGGCAATTCGATCACTACTCTTCGCTCGCTGGATGCGGTAATGCTACAGATAAATTAACATGTCTTCGTCAGCAAGACGGGTCCATTCTCCAGGCGGCCAATCAAAGGATGTCGTATCCCAGTCGTCCTGAACCTGCATTGACTACTTGGACACCAACAATTGATGGCGACCTAGTTCCTGACATTCCCTTCAAGCTTTTCCTTGAGGGTAAATTTCGTTCCGTTCCATCGGTCTGGGGGTATGTACTGTTTAGATATGATGACAATCCTATGGAGCCTGGTTCTGACTAAAATGAATTAGCGTTGATACCGATGAAGGAACTCTTTTCGCTGCCAATGCCTCAACCCCTTCGGAAGTTGAAACATTTTTGCAAAATAACTATCCAGAATTGTCGGACAATGACACTGCTCGTATCCTTACCAAGTATCAAGGAATTCCTCGTAGACTCGGATTCGCTCCTTTCTTCCCTGCAGCTGCCGAAGCATATGCAGATCTCACCTTCACATGCCCTGGACTTGCGATATCGAGTGTGATGACCCAAGCCGGAACGCCTACTTGGAACTATAGGTATGGAAACGAATATGAATATGTTCGGTATTCATGAACTAAATTTTAACACCGGTTGTTGCTAGATATAATGTCCCGACGCAACAAGGAATTGATGCCGGTACGGGTGTTTATCACATGGCTGAACTGCCCCTCCTTTTCGGGTTGGGAAATTCTCCTCTACCTGATCCCGGTAGTAGAACATATCCAATGATCCCTATCTTGCAGGGTTATTACACAAATTTCGTTCGTTTCTTAAATCCGAATATAGGGAATCCAGTCCCAATTAATTGGCCTCAATGGACCATTCAATCACCCGCTATTAGCCCCCGTCGTCTCCTTTTCCAGGTCAACAACATGACAACGGAAGCTCTTCCTTTCACTGGTACCCAATCTGCGCGGTGCGCTGTCTGGCTCCCCGGAAAAATGCAGCAATAAGATCATTTTCACATTTGTTAGTGTATGTTTCTTATGATAGAACAAATGTACATTACTTGACGAAAGGCGGGGGATTTCCAATGATATGGACAAATGAATAAGATTTTGAGTCCGTTACGTACTAGTAGCCTTTGAATCTTCATTTCATCATCAGATATTGTCAGGAATCGCTGAAGCCATCGAATTTTTTTTTGCCTTTGTAAATAAAATATTACGAAAACCATTGCTGTAATCTTGAGAGTTGACTTTAGGCTGAAATCACTTCACTTGAAGTTCAAACTTCAACGTCGAACAAACGCGAACACGTGACAGGCGCGTAACTTTTGGTTCCGTGCCGGTGTTCAGTGGGAGTAATACCAGCATTGTTTCTTGATTTTGGCTTGCAAAACGGAATGGGCGTTCCAGGATTATGGGATGTACGTGTCCTGTCATTTTCTCTTCACTTTTCTAAATTGGCGTTTTTTTTTTTTAGCTTCTTCGACCCTGTGGTGAAACCTATTCTCTTCTCAACCTTGCAGTGGATTCTGGTTTTCTCAAAAATCAAAACGGTCACCGAGCGTATCGTTTGGGAATAGATGCTTCTATTTGGTTTTTTCATGCTCAAGGTGGAAGAGAGGGCGAAAATCCAGAGTTGAGGACTATCTTTTTTAGGTGTGCCAGGTACCACAATAATTGCGTCGTCTTTCAATAATGTGTTTCGCGTCTGCTGACAACATGCCGATAGATTGTTGGCCATGCCATTTCTTCCTTTATTTGTTTTCGACGGCCCGAAACGGCCCAAGGTGAAACGAGGAAAAGTAATTGGAGGGAACGAACATTGGATGATTAACAGCCTTCGTACCATATTAGACGCGTTCGGATTTGAATGTCGTACCGCTCCAGGCGAAGCAGAGGCAGAACTAGCTTACTTGAATCGCATAGGCGTAATCGATGCAGTATTGTCGGATGACGTAGATTGTTTTGTATTCGGCGCTCCTACCGTCATTCGTAATTTGTCTTCAACACTGTCTGCTGGGAAAGGTAAAGGCGGTCCTCAAGGAAAAGAAGATGGCCAACACGTGAATATCTATCGTTTGGAGGATATTAAAACTCATACTGAAGTCAATCTTACCCAAGGAGGGCTCATTCTCATTGCGCTCCTGAGAGGTGGCGATTATGATCAGGTGCAGTATTCATCATATATTATGATTTTTGCATCAATTTGAAAAAATATTTTTTAGCAAGGGATTGATGGTTGCGGTGTCCATATTGCTCAAGCTTTAGCAAAGGCTGGTTTTGGCGATAGTTTACTTTTGGCTGCCCGTTCAAATACTCCAGGATACCTAGAGGAATTTCTTCCACAATGGCGTAAGGATTTACGTGCAGAACTTGCCACCAATGCTTCTGGATTTGCGCCACGAAAATCCCCTACGGTTGCCAAACGTATTACGCATGATTTCCCCCGATTGGATATTCTTCGTTATTATACCCACCCTGTGACTTCCGAGTCAGAACATAATACCCCCCGAGGGTTGGACTCTCTTTGGAAAAAACGCGCCGATGTTGCGAAAATAGCTCGCGTTTGCGAACTTTATTTTGAATGGGGTGTGGAAGCCAAAATTATTAAACGCTTTCGCAGCTTTCTATGGCCTGGTGTTGTTTTACGGACACTCTTGTATACTGCACTTGATAACGGGAAGGAGGACCACCTTCGTGCAACTCAAGAAGAACGCATTCTTGAGACACCTTCGAAAGCCCTGGCACGGCATCTGAACAGGGTTGGCCTAAATTCAAATTTTGATGTAAATCAAACTATCGCGACTATTCACAGTGAACGAGCGCATAAATCCACCGATAGTCTCCTGGAATATCGTTTAGAAATTAATCCGAAAGAATTTGTTTCTCGTGCTCGATCAGGAATTCAGGGAACTCGGGTAGAAACACGAGATTCTGCAGCGGCAGATAGTTTTGATGAAGAGGAGTCAGATGGCGAAGGTGGAAGTGGAGGAAAGAAAGGGGCCAGTGGAACGGACCCCGATTCTACTCTTCGTGTATGGATGCCAGCTGCGATGGTCGCTCATGTTTGTCCCACTTTGGTTGATAATTTCGTTATCGCAAAAGCCGCGAAAGGGAAAAGGAAGAAGGGAACCACGAAAGCTAAAACTTCGAGTCCAGAGAAAGTACCCAAGGCGAAGTCCGGGGGTAAACAGTCAAAGATCGATATATTTACCCAGACGAAGGCTACCAGTCAACTGCCTTCGATTCCTCTTACTGTTCCTGCCGAACGTCCACCCCCTAGAGCGAAACTCCAATGTATACTGGAAAGGCTAGAGAATGATCCATTTATTGCTTCTATGGCCATTCCCTCAAAGACAGCATCATCTCGTACGGAATCCAAGGCCTCTTCCAATCCCGGATTTGGGAATTTACGTCCCTTCCCTATGACACTCTCGAGTCGCTTTGAGGATGAGGACAATTTATTCAATCCGATATCCATTCCTAATAATCCTTCAGGTCCGTCTCGAATAAGAAAGCAGTCCTCGACGTCCGGAAGTTCTTCTGACAAGAGTAATTTGAGTAAATCTCCAGTAAATAAGTCTCCGAGGAAATCTAAAAACCAGACCTCCCCTCTGGCAAGATCTGCATCGACACAGCCGCCATTGAAATTGCCTATACGTCCTCTTGAATTATTGAAGCAACGTTCTGAAAAATCTAAACGGCGTGATTCGGAAATTATTATTATTTCTAGTGATTCTGATTCAGAGGTTGTTTTGGAAAAAAAAATGTTTGCAAAAAAGACTGCTGCAACACGGGTGCTGGATTTCGTCGATCTTACTTGATTTTCGTTACTTTTCTCCACGTTGTTTTTGTAGTTAAATTTAGATATTGTATTAATTTACCAACAGATTTGGTTGCGGCTGTAAAATAAATCACAGGAGTTCATACCGTTCTATGTTCACCCATTAACATTCTCTAGCAACATCGAGGGATTAATTTTAATGAGACTTGTTATGGGACGACGTAGCCAAGTTGGTTAAGGCGTTTGATTAGAAATCAAATCCACTTTGTGGGCGTAGGTTCGAATCCTGCCGTCGTCGTATTTTTTGTCCTCTTAACTTTTGTTTTTGCTTTCCGTCGTTTCACTAAAAGTTTGTGAAATTTTCCACACTTTTTATTGATTACCGGGGAGATTTGCCGACGCACCAAAATGTATTAACAATCAGGCTATACTAAAAATATACAAGAAATAATGTAGGAAGTATAATTATACACCGTATCGCAATTACATCGCGCCTTTATATCCTAATTTCCTAGCACCGAATATAAAAAAGGCGTAGGCATGTTGCCAGTAATGTTTTACATCCAAAAATACGCGTCCTAATGTTTCTTCTTCTTCTTCTCTTCCTCATGATATTTAACCTTAGTGGATTTTTCTTTTTCTTTGCCCTTGACGCCTGGGGGACTCCTTTTTCGGGAATTCGCGTGAACAGCATCTGTCTTAGCTTTCTTTCTGGGTGTTTCCGACTCTGACTCTACTTCGGAATCTTCTATCTCGTCTTCGTCCTCTTCACCACCCTCTTCTTCGTCTTCTTCAGTCACTTCAATCTCAGGTTGAGATCCTTCTTCCTGTTCGGGCTCGTCTTCCTCCTCGTCCTTGGGAGATCCTTCATCAGACTCGTCTAGCGTATTGGGTTTAGCTCGGACAGTTTTATTTCCTTTTGGTGGTGGCGTCTAATTCAATTTGAATATGTCAGTACTCAATAGTGCACAAATTTGATCGCAAAAAATAATAATATACCGTCTTTTTGGTCTTTTTAGCCTTTTCTTCCTTCTTCTTTTCATCTGTGTTCGGCGCAATACCAAGTTTGGCATCATATGCTGCTTTTTCTTCATCATATTTTGTTTTCAAGTCATTATGGGATTTAAGATACGTCTAAGTGAGACGCATGCAATATGAGCCTGCCGTTAAATAACGTAGAGAATGGTAGAAGAGACACACTTTTTTTTCTTGTTCGGAAACCGTATTCCATAACTTGCTAACTTCCTGGAGGATCTCATGGTTGGTCATACCTGGATGCTCGTTTTTAATTTCTTTGCGGACCTCATTCTGGAAGAGAAGATAAGCGGAGGGAGGTCGTTTCGGAGCGTCCTTGTCACGTGGCTTCTTCTCCTTCACGACGCGTTTTTTCTTGCCGTTTTGGTCAAGAGACGGTGAAGCTTCCTTGTCTGCTTTGCGCTTCTTGCCTGAGACAGCGACATCTGAAGAGGAGGACATGATAGACCCGAAATTGAACGTTGGAGACGGAATGTCTTTGACGTTGTTTGCACGCGCAAACCAGTTGGAGAATTCTTCAGCAACCTTGGCTGCATCGTGCATAGCGAGCGCAGCACGTGCGAACGTATTCACAACCTAGAAAAATACATTTCAACAAAAAGCATGGGTGAGGAGAAATGAAACATGTGTGAACATACCTCACGTTGGTGTTGTTCAAAATCTGTCAACACTGTCCCATTTGTTGCAGGTGCCATGGCTTATTGTAGAACAAATCTAGCCAAGGGTTGTTGTGAAGAAGTTTAGAAAAAACGAAGGTAAAAGGGCAGTGTCAGGTCCGAAAAGACCTCTTGAAAATTTTTCGTAGCGGGGTTATAACAAATTTGTAGTCCCGACTATATTTCGTAACCAAATTTATTGTGTGCATATAAAATCGTTTAGTATTGATCGAATGTGTATATAAATAAGTGTAACACTTGTAGTAAGTGTGTACTTGTTATGCATGATGGCAATACATTGCGTGTGTAAGTGAAAACTAACCCTGTGTGTACCACTGGGCTAACAGGGTGCCGATGACAGCCGCGTGCCTTCCATTTGAAGCGGAGTTCACCCTTCCGCGGCTATGCGTTTTTGTTTCGAAACCGTCATCTTCCCTCAAAATTTCTCCTAGACTAGAGACCCACCGCTCAGTTGTTTTAAAATTTCGTGTGCTCAGGTGGTTTGTTGTTTAAAGCAAATAACCAAGACGCAGTAATTATCAGTTCAAATCTAAAACTAAGGCAAAAAATCGACGGTCCCCTTTTTGTTGGTAATCGATTACTCGGTTCCCGGTTTTGTTCGAAAATAATCCAATTAAAACAGAATAGAAAAAGAGAAAAAAAAGTTCGGTCTACTCTATTCCGTTTGACGAAAAAAAAGAAACAAATCGAGAGAGAGATATTCGTCTCCCACAATAAATCACGCACTCAAGCGAAGCGAACGAATTACCATTGCGTTACAACGCCACGCACCCCATCGTTGACCGATATAACGACGGCGTCGACGACGAATCCTTTGGTGTTTGCTCTTATTATTGAGAGAGAAGGGTATGGATTTTGGTCCATTTCCGCCTGCCACTACCGCGGGGCCTGTCAATGCGACCGCTTCTGCTAGTGCGCCTACAAGCGCATGGTTGTCTCAATTGCAAATGCAAGAACATCATCTTCACTCATCTGCGGCTCAACAACGAATACCGCCTGATACGAACTCGGTTGACGTCGATATCTCTATGCTCGGCACAGCAGACGATGTCGCAGGTGAGACAATATCTCATCCCTTCTTGAACAAAATATAAACCCCTTTTCTAGTTTCATCGTCTTCGGCAATGTTGCCATCCGTTCACGCCCATTCACATCCACATGTACATTCTCTTACACACCAGCACCAGCAAACACACCATTCCATGCCAGTATCACAATCGCATACTTATTATTCCCTTTCTCCATTCCCATACACGACTTTTAATTACGGCTTGTCGCCGTATTCGTCTCTATCACCTACATCGCAACCATCTTCGTCCGGTTCCACCACGCAACATCAACAGCATTGGACCGTGCCAATATCATCCTATTCATCCTTGAATGGTGCGACGAATAGTCAACCGGCTGCTTCATCGAGTTCTTCTACGGCCGCTTCAAGTTCTAGTACCACGACATCATCGAGGTCTCCCCTACCACAACAGCAGCAACCCCAACAGTCGCAAATGCAATCGCCAGGTTCGTCGCAACAGCAGCAACATTCTCCTATTATGGTGCATCAGCAACAACCATCTCAACATCAATACCAGCCCCAGCAGGTACAAGTGCAAGCCATGCAGAGTCCACGTATGCCACACAGTCATAACTCCACACCCACACCACCCTCGACTCAACATCATCAATTATCGCACGGTTCGACGTATCTACAGCAGCAACAACCACAGCAATCTCATCAACAACCACAGGTTACAATTGAGTATGAAGGACCCCTTCTTTTTGTTCCACAATGCACTGATCTTTCGTCTAGTCCCACACTAATGCTTGCAAATTACACCAATAGTTATCCTCCATCTGCATTTTATTCTTATCCACAGACATTATCTCTTAGTCCATCTCTATTGCATACCTCATCTTCTTCTCTTGCATCCGCAAATCATCCCATCCCTAACCATACGTCGTCACAACTTTCCCAGGTCCAGCTTCAGCAGTCGGGTGCCTTATCCTCCTTGACCGGGATGCATTCGCGCTCTACGCTAACCAGCGTACTGAATGGGCTCCTTGCTGCCAAGATTTTGACTACGCCTCATCAGATCGTGCGGACTATCATAACGATCGGACCAACAGAGGTTGAATTGCCAACGCGATTGCAGGTTCTCTCCAAGATCCGAGATTGTGCAGGTAATGATTTTTATCAAGCATGGGCCTTAAATACAGAAGCTATGGATATCATCCGGGAATGGCTGAAGAATGCTATCACGAGCAAATCGGGAGAATGGGAGGAGACAATCATGCCTTTACTTCACGTGCGTGCTTATCCTTTTGTTTCACTATCAAAATCAATATTTGACTCACCCGATCCTTAATCCTCACATACATTCCTTTTTGCACAACAAATAGGTCATAGATCGGTTGCCTCTAACAGTGGAATCGCTAAGATCATCTAAAATAGGGAAGGTTATTGTTAAGCTGAGGGAAGTGTCCTCAAGTTCAGGTGAGTTCTTTCTTTCGAAAATAATAAATGAGCCCCATATATCCGCATCGGTGGCAATTATTTTTCCAAATGTTGAGCTGGACATAATTTTATTGAGCGCGAGAGTGCCTGTGGAAATTAAACTCCTTGATAAATACACAACGCGCGATTTACAAAGAAATGGTGTTATGGCGGGGAACCATGCTATCCATGCTATGACTGTTTCCTCCTGTGAAGGGCGTTCATTTATTTTCCTTTTCCTGTTTTTTTTTACTATTTACATCTTGACATGCATGTATCTAACTTTATGCACCTTTTCTTTTCATATTCTTCTCTATTGCAAAACCCAGCTGTCAAGGATATGGCTTCGAATCTCGAGAATCGATGGCGATCACTTGTTAACACCGTCGATAAATCGTCGCTAGAAAACGGACCCAAAAAACTTGACGGAGCGAAGAGCGTTGAGGGTGAGTATTCTATCATAACCAAAATTCAATATCTTAAGCTGAACCTTTCACTATAAAAGCCAAGAAACGCAAACTTGAGGAAGCGGCGATGGCAAACAAGGCGGCACCTGCGATGAAAAAATTAGCATTATCGAAACCAACGACAGCAACAGGAATTACTGCAATACAGACGAAACCCGTTGCTGTTAAAAAGGAACCGGGCACGACGACATTGGCAGTTAAGGGTGGTATGTCGATGGCGCCCTCAACCATACCGTCATTAACAACGACCACAACTGTTCGGGATTCAAAATCGGATTCGTCATTTTTCTCTGCACCAAAACCGAAGCCGAAACTTCCTAGTTTTAAGAAAGCACCTCCACTACCAATTGCAAAGAAGGACGGACCGGATCCTAACGTGGCGCAACCGTCGTCGGTTGATCCGTTTAAGGACGCGCTGGCGGCGATGACAAGGGCGAGGGGGTCGCCAACGCCTTCAGCTGCTGTTGCTGCTGCTAATGCGGCCTATGCCGCACAGTTACAAGGTTCGCTTGGGGCCACAGCAGGTGTAGCGACGACACCAGTTGGAAATAACGGTGACGCAATTATGATTACTTCGACAGATGGCTCGACCACTGGAATGGCAAGTTTGACGACTACAATAGGAAAGAAG